TTTCACAGTTTTCGTCCCTTTGTGTCTGTCTCCAGGAGCCGATGCTTGGTTCTTGTCCTGGTCGCTTCCGTGGCTATTCTTTTCTCTCCCCTCCCCCAGCTGTCGCTGGGGTCCATAATTCTACTGCTCTCTTGATTCGTTCCGATGTTCCTTTTGTCCCCTTACTTTTTTCCTCGCCTCTCCACTGTTCTGCCGCCCGTATCTTTGTGCGTAGATGGTACACGGTTTGTTCTATTTATCTACCCCCCACTGTCCCACTTTCTCTTCCTGATCTTAAACACCACCTAGACTCCTTGCCGGAGCCTGTGCTCCTGCTGGGTGATTTCAATTGTCGTCATGCCCTTTGAGTTGATGTGCTGACAAACACCTGGGGTCGCCTCCTTGAACCTTTCATCCTCTCTTCTTCCCTGTCCCTTCTTAATTCTGGTGAGCCCACTCATTTGGACTCTCGGACTCGCTCCCTTTCTTGTCTCGATCTTTCTCTGTGCTCGTCATCCCTTTCCTTAGATTTCGGGTGGCGAGTCCTTGATGACCTCCATGGCAGTGACCTTTTTCCTATCCTTGTCACTTTTTTCTCCTTTCGCCCTCCTCTCTCCTTCCCTAGGTGGTGGTTTGCCGAGGCTGACTGGTGCCTCTTTACTCTACGTGCTACTATTTCCGACCTCTCCGTTTTACCTCTCCCTCGCGCCCTCCTTCAATTCATGACACTGTCTTTGACGCTGCCCTCCACTCTATTCCTCGCTCTTCCTCTCGGGGGACGCGGAAGTGCATTCCCTGGTGGAGTTTGGACTGTGCTCGGGCTGTCCGCTGTAAGCGTGCAGCCTGGAAGAGACATCGCCGCCGGCAGACGGTTGAGTCTTTTCTTTTGTTTCGGAAGGCGAGTGCGGTGGTCCGTAGGACCATCCGTGCGGCTAAACGTGCTTGCTGGGCGTCTTATGTCTCCACCGTTACGTCCGAAACTCCTCTTCCACTGGTCTGGAAGCGTATCCGCAAGATTGCGAGTAAGTTCGTTCCCGATGTCTCACCGGTCCTTCGCCTCCATGGTGCTCTTGTGGCGGACCCGTTGCAGGTTGCGACCGAACTGGGTTCCCATTTCTCCTCTGTTAGTTCTGGTTCTCATCTCCCCCAATCCTTCCTTCTTCGTAAGCCTCTCCTTGAATCTCGTCCTTTAAATTTCTGTACTTATCTTCACCTTCCCTATAATGATCCCTTCTCTCTCTCTCTCTGAACTTCAATCTGCCCCTAGCCCTTTGGGGTTCTACAACAGCGGGCTCTGATGGCATTCATTATGAAATGCTTCGCCATCTCCCTCCGTGCACGTCTCAGTATTTACTGAGTCTGTACAATCGGGTCTGGGAGTCGTCGTCAGTCCCTGAAGACTGGCTCGATGCTGTTGTCCTCCCTATTCGGAAACCAGGGTCTCTCGGGTCATCCCCCAAGGACTTCCGCCCTATTGCCCTCACGAGTTGTGTCTGCAAGCTCTTTGAACGTATGGTCAACGTTTGTTTGATGTGGTTCTTAGAACACAGTTATACAGTCTCCGTGGTGTAGTGGTAAGACACTCGCCTGGCGTTCCGCGAGCGCTATGTCATGGGTTCGTATCCTGGCCGGGGAGGATTTACTGGGCACAATTCCTTAACTGTAGCCTCTGTTTAACGCAACAGTAAAATGTGTACTTGGATGAAAAAACGATTCTTCGCGGCAGGGGATCGTATTCCAGGGACCATAGGATTAAGGACTTGCCCGAAACGCTACGCGTACTAGTGGCTGTACAAGAATGTAACAACTCTTGTATATATCTCAAAAAAAAAAAAACTATCACCACCTCTCCCCCTCTCAATTTGGTTTTCGCAAATGCCGCAGCACAACAGATGTCTTGGTGAACTTGGAGGTCTATATTCGTACTGCTTTTGCTGCGAAGACCTCCGTTGTTGCCGTCTTTTTTTGACCTGGAAAAGGCTTACGACACTACCTGGCGGTATCATATTCTGTCTCAACTTCATTCTTTTGGCCTTCGTGGGAACCTCCGGAGCTTCCTCTCTCGTCGTTCCTTTCGTGTGTGGCTTGGTACTGCTCTCTTTGCCCCTTTTCAGCAGTATGAGGGTGTACCCCAGGGTAGTGTTCTGAGCACTACTCTTTTTCTAGTTGCCCTCAACGGTCTTCTTTCCTCTCTTCCTTCTGGCGTCTTCTCTGCTCTCTATGTTGATCTTACCCTTTGCTGTCGGGGTGATGATTCCCTTCTCCTTCAACGGCGGCTTCAACTTGCGATTGATGCCGTGTCGTCTTGGGCCACCAATCATGGCTTCAAGTTCTCTGCGTCTAAGACTTTTGCTATGACTTTTACTCGGAAGCATGTCACTCTTCGTCCCTCTTTGTCGCTTTATGGTCATCCCCTTGTGTACAGGGATTCCGCGAAGCTTTTGGGGTTAGTCTTTGACACTAGTTTGTCTTGGTCAACCCATATCTCTTACCTCCGAGTTGAATGCTCTAAGGCCCTTAACCTCTTTAAGGTTTTGTCCCATACTTCTTGGGGAGTGGATAGGCGCACGCTTCTCTATTTGCACTCCTCTCTCGTCCTGTCTAAACTCGATTATAGTTGCCCTGCTTACTCTTCTGCTTCTCCTTCTACTCTTCGCCGTTTGAAGCTTTGCACCATACTGGGTTGCGTCTCAGCTCTGGTGCCTTTCGTTGGACTCCTGCCCTTAGTTTGTATGTTGACACTGGCTTTCTCTCTCTTCAGGACTGCCGTGATCACTACTGTCTTCGCTATCTTGCGTGGTCCTTCCAACATCCTTCCTCTCGCCTCTGTCGTGCATTGACTTTTCCTCCTCCTGTGGTTCCTGTTCCTCTTCATTGTCTCCCACTTTCTGTCCGGTTATCTCGCTTACAGGATTCTCTTTCTGTTCATATTTCTAATGTTTCTCCTCGTATTGTTCCTTCCTTACCTCCGTGGAGAGTCCCTCTTCCCAAGTTTTGTACATCCTTGACATGTATTACTAAAGCCTTTACCCCTCCTACAATTCTGAAAAGCCTCTTCCTTGAGCACTTTTCTTCGCACTCCCACTCTCTTTCCATCTTCACCGATGGGTCTAAGTCTGCGGACGGTGTAGGCTACTCTGTTGTTTTTCCTGACCGTACTTACATGTGTCGCCTCCCTTCGGAGGCAAGCGTCTTTACGGCAGAACTTTATGCTATTCTCTATGTTCTTTGTCTCTTGCTTTCTCATTCTCATTCCTCCTTTGTGGTTGTAGTTGACTCTCGTAATGCCCTCATAGCTCTAGGGTCCTTTAATCCTGTCCATCCGGTGGTCAATGAGATTCAACATTGGCTGTTTCTTATTTATAGTAAATTTAAATCAGTAGAGTTTTGCTGGGTTCCCAGCCATATTGGTGTTGTTTTCAATGAGCGTGCGGATGCTGCCGCTAAGGAAGCTAGCCACGTGTGGTGTGTAGAGTATGGCAGACTAGTCACACCACACGTGGCTAGTCTGCCATACTCTACACACCACACATGGCTAGTCTGCCATACTCTACACACCAAACGTGGCTAGTCTGCCATTCTCTACACTCCACACCTGGCTAGTCTGCTATACTCTACACGCCACACCTGGCTAGTCTGCCATACTACACACTCAACACCTGGCTAGTTTGCTATACTACACACTCCACACCTGACTAGTCTGCCATACTCTACTCTCCACATCTGGCTATTCTGCCATACTCTACACCCCACATCTGGCTATTCTGCCATACTCTACACCCCACATCTGGCTATTCTGCCATACTCTACACCCCACATCTGGCTATTCTGCCATACTCTACACCCCACATCTGGCTGTTCTGCCATACTCTACACTTCACACCTGGCTAGTCTGCCATACTCTACACACCACACCTGGATTTGTCTGCCATACTTCACACACCATACCTGGCTAGTCTACCATACTATACTCACTGCAGACTTAACTTAGGTCAACAAGATCACATTGGGTCCCCGCATCTCGTCGATTTCACTTTGTTGCTGGCCCAGACGGAGCCAGTCATTGCCTCCACCACCACAGCCAGCATCCCAAAGAGGGTATAATCAGATTAAATGTAAATCTCCTTGTTTCCTAGAACTTTGGATCACCCTTTGTGAACTCTTTGTTGTAACATTGGTTTGGGTGGTTTTGATCTCAATCTCTTTGACTTTACCTTGATGTGTATCTTGAGGTTATCTTGAGATGATTTCGGGGCTTAGCGTCCCCTCGGCCCGGTCCTCGACCAGGCCTCATTTTTTGTTAACACTCCTCTGGGAAGCAGCCTGTTATCAGCTGTCTAACTCCCAGGTACCTATTTACTGTTAGGTAACAGGGGCATCTGGGTGAAAGAAACTCGGCCTATTTTGGTTTCGCCTCCACCGGGGATCAGACCCGAAACCTCAGGACTACGAATCCGAAGCGCTGTCCACTCAGCTGTCAGTTCCCTATTATGTGTGACCTCAGTCTGATTACTAACATGTACTACCCTTCCTTTCAACCATCATTTGTGTTGTAGTGCTTGATTCACTAGCTATATTCACTCCTATCATGTGGATTACAACACCTTTGGTCTCCAGTAGGTTTTTAAGTACAGTATTTGCAAAAGCTGATGTAACTTGATGTTGAGCTATCTTGGTGAGGCTATTAACTACAGGGAGCCACTCAGGCTCTCCTAGAAAGAGGCATTTCAATATGCTCAACACTTTTTGTGTATGTATGTATATATATATATATATATATATATATATATATATATATATATATATATATATATATATATATATATATATATATATATATATAATATATATATATATATATATATATATATATATATATATATATATATATATATATATATATATATATATATATATATATATATATATATATATATATATATATATATATATATATATATAGTTGACTTGAGTAATGTATGTGAAACATGGTATTTTATAACCCAAGATTTTCCTTGCAGGCATGCTTAACTGCACTACGGGCTCTGGCCAAGCTGGGGTTGGACACAGTGACTGCAGCCAAGCAAGACTAAAGGTTCTAGTACTAACATGAGGATGATGCCAATACTCACATTGTTCCTTTCATTGCAGTTCTTTAAGTCAATTCAGTAAGGGACATTTTCCAAGTGTGCCTAAACAAATGGGCTGATAAACGTGTTAGTGCTCAAGTGAAGATTGTAATAATTCTTCTTGAAACGGCACCAAAAGCGCACACAAGACAGGGCATCACCATAAACATGAATTTCAAGTTTCAAGAGTTTTTAAGACACTCTTCATTTGTGTTCCACTTACTTAACTGACTTTTGAGAATTCATGGAAATTGCAACTATCATGCTTTAATGTTGAGTTACCCCAGTTAAAAAACAGGAACTCAACCTTAGAGATATGATGATGGGTTTCATATTACTGTATCCTCACGTCAAATTACTTTCGTGATGGGCGAAGTGAACATCTTTACTGATGTACGTGAAGTAATGGATATATATACGTATATATATATACATATATATGCGGCTTGATCAGTAATTCTGAGCCTTCATGAAACTTTGTGGATGGCTAGTTATATATTTTTAGTTACAAAAGTAATGAGAGAAGTATAAATAAGTTTAATCTCATAACTGCCGATCTCGCCGTATATTCTTATTGTCTTCCTCCTCTGTGTTTTGTCCTTTTGAAATCTTAGCAGTTTTATTATTTAATTATATATGTTATCATTATAGAATTGTTCCTACAAAAGAAAGAATGACAAATAAATCCCATAATTTGAGTGAAACAGTATGGCAAACAGGATATCGAGTGATATTGAGCTTTAGATGTATCTGAACTAAGGCTCATTTTCCCTATTAAGCAAACAGATAAACTACAAGAAATGTATTGTGCCTCTCCTACAGGCTTAAGTGTGCCAATGCTGGTTATCTGGTGTTAGTGTTAGAGAGGAGTGTTGGAGGGAGGGAGAGACTCCCTGGAGACACTACCCCACACACATTCTTCTCCAGCCCTCCCTCAAACACTCCCATAATCTTAGCTTGCTACTGTATAACGGCTTCCCTCTTGACACCTGCTCCACCCAATATTTACTCACAATGTCCCCACCTGTATACATTAGATGTGTGAACTTCTTCAAACACTGGCCCCTTGACAGTTATCTTCTGGCATGGTAACAAGGATCGTTGTTGACTAGTGGCGTAGCACTAGTGCTGTAAACTTGTTGAGTCTGATCACCCTCTTGTTATTGTCACGAGCTGATGCTTGCATGCTCATTGATGCTCAGTATTCTTTTAACCATTCATTACAACACTAACAAATACAATGGACTATTGTTACAGCTAATTAAACAAAAGAAATTTCCAGAAGGCATCAGTGTTTAGGGTTTACTTATATTATTTTTCAAATGGTAAAGGTCAGTCATGTTCGTGTTCTGCCATAAGAAAAATATTAGGCGGTCATCTCGTAGTGCATCAGTGTTATACATGTGGTACATTTCAAGCAGTGACTAAATGTGTGGGTGAGTAAAGGTTTCTCTTGGCATTATAATAAGCAATGTGTATCACTACTGCTGCTAGTCACCGTGTAGGGTCCTGGTGTTGACCTGTGTGTCAGTCAGTGTGTTTGGTGCCATCACTGGTCCATGCACGACCCTCCCTGCTGTCCTCAGTAGCTCTCACATATATTTTACAATTTTTCATTCTCAGACAAATCAATGTTGCAGACTTGTGTAGCCATGGCGGTGGTGGTGAGCAGAGAGAGCCTCCCCATTGGTGTACATTGTAAGAGTAGACACTTGCTCAGTAATTATCTCAATTAAATTGTCAGTTCATTGAGTCAAACACACTTACTTACTGAATTCTTGGTTATAATTGCTCAGGAGGCTGTTGTCTCGTTTGTGTGTGTATATATTTTTGTTTAGTCTACAATTATGAATAACAATAAAAGTTTGTAAATAAGGTGTATGTTTGTGAAGTCTTCATCAATTTTTAAGGCTTGTTTCTTGATAGCTATTTGATATTTGATGGTACTTGAAATTAAACTTTTCATAATTAACTGGCATTGAAAAGAGAGATTCCACTTTATACAATACACCGAGCACTGCCGACCAATGGCTACACAGCTTCTGAAGTTGTAAAGAGGCAATAATTTAGGTAGTTCAATGCCTCTGAACATTGTAATACTGTACCTACATCTTTAACACGCTGGGTTATAATTAATTTAAGACCATATTTTAGAGGCTGTTCTTATGATAAAGGATTTTTTTTATTGCTGTATGTTGTATGATATAAAAATATCATGTTCTTTCTCATAAGAATAGTCTTCATGGTCCAAGAGAATTTGAAGCTACATTTTGTCAAATATGTTATTGCTTATGAAATATAATGTTTAATTTTTTATTACCAGGAAACAGTGATAATCATCGAGGAAAGTCTAGTATATGTTACTAACCTAGAGTACGGTTTAGGTAATGACTTATTATAATGAAGTTTGTACTCGTGCTTCTGTCATTCTTAACATCTGATCTGGGCTAGATTTTTCAAACAATCACTGATACATTAGTGGAAACATATGTAGTGTGTGCCGATGTTGCAACAGTTGGTTGTATTAAAAAATGCATTGCTCAAGTTCTTACCATTCAACAATTAATTTGAAGTGATGTTTTACAAGTGTGTTGCCATAGCTGCTTCTTCAGTACCACCCTAAGCTCTTCCTCCAACACAACCACATGTGAAAGAATTGGGGCATGGTAGTGTTACTTGCCAAACCCTATAGATTGCATTTATGAGCTGTAGGATGTGTATTTTAACCTAAACCCATAAGTTATCCAGACTTAGAATTTGTTCATCCACTGTGGATGTGAACTTGTACTTGCGATGACAGGGGTTTTGCAACTGTGGCGGTTAACACTCTCATGCTGCGATGACATCATAAAATGCCACTGATAACAATTATGAACACATATGAAGACAACGGAAAATATTGCCTGAGAGGGCTGCGACTTGTGGCTCGAGTAAATGCTGTTCCTGGTGGTGTGGTCAAGTGAGTGGGAACTTTCCCAGAATCATTGTGTACACTTATGCTGTCTCAAGCATCATCATAAAAATTGGCTTGTTCATGTTGGTAGATTTTAGTGTTTCGTTGTAAAACGAGGATGATTACAAATGTTTATTTAAGATAATCGAGATTTTTTATTCTTGGGTAATTAAAGCATTGTTATTATTTATGTTGATTACTGTTAGAATAAGGAAACATAATTTTCTTGTAACATGCTATTTCTAATGTCAAAGTTTATTAGTTAATATTTTTTCAAAGTGGAGGAGACAGAGTTGATGCCAGTATCATTGTGCATGTGCGAGCTGTACATATTGTGGTACTAGACTTCCACATGCACAAGGATATACAAGGCACAACTTGATTGACACGAACTTCTCTACTGTAACAAATGATCCTGTTAAGTTTCTCACATTCTCTTAGTGAAGCTCATCTAGCAACTTGTAGAATGTAGTCATTGAACTATGCAATGGTTACTATTATTAAACACTTAGTCCTGTTATAAATTTTGAACATTAGAAGCGGATATACTAAGCTCTCAATATTTTATTTAGAAGAGCAAGTTTATACTATGATTTTACTTAACCACACCACCAGCACATTGACTTTTGAAGTCCAATATTGTGATATGACCTAATGTTTTGAGTCTTGCCAAGGGTTATCGTAAGGTTCTCTATCCCACCTTTATTGGAAAGTGAATCTTTATGAAATATGGTGTAGAGCTGGGAATGAGAGGTCAGGTCACAGAAGATCAGGGTACGGGTGTATGTGGTGCAGCTACGATGATTGTGCAACACCTCTCAACATTTCCTAGTGCCCGCCTAATTTTGTAGCCGCACCACTATCACTTGCACCAACTTTATTTTATGTCTAATATTTTATTTTAGTCATGTGGTTGGTGGTTAAATCTTAGCATGTGTAATTTTTCCTCTTAAGTAAAGGTAGAAACTATATATTTAGTGTTTGTGCATTGATAACTATTTGCTTTCTGGTGACCTGTGTGTCAATGTTCAATTGACTTTTTTATGCTTACAACATAGAATTATAATGTTTAGCTGCTTGAGTATTTTTTTTTACTTTGCTGTTGTCTTCATGTCTATTCATTTAGAATATGTGAGTCGTCGTGGGCGTGCTGGTGGCAGCGCATGTGGTGTCGGGCGTGCTGGTGGCGGCACATGTGGTGTCGGGTGTGCTCTTTGCAACCCTGTATTAACATGCTGATAACCATGTGTTAATTAATCTGTGTTATTCTCTATGAAAATGTTTATAACTTTTTTGCTTACTAAGAAATACTGTATACTGATATTGCATTGTGTGTGTGTGTGAAGAAGAGTTGCATGCTCATTATATATATATTTGTCTTGTAAGCACAGATTTGAACTTGTTTAATGAAATAACTTTCTTAGATGAATGTTCACAATAATATTATTGCACTTTGTGCCTACATAGACTTTGTCAAATAACTTCATGCTCTTTTGCCCCTAAATATATCAGAAAATTTAGCTAAGAGCTGCCACAGTGTGAAGTTAGGGCTGAAGGTAGGCCTACCTTTATCATATACAATGTAGAATAGACTGACAGTGTACTTCACTGAAATATGCATGAAATTTTCTTATTTTTGTTTCTTCAATTAATGATTATAAAGGTGGTTGAGGATGTAGCATGAAGTGTAATGTATATAAGAGTAGTATTGATGTGTGGAGTTTTTCTCTAGTGACTGTCTAGTGCGTCTTAAGTCAGGCTGCCCATCCTGTGCTTCTGATAATTAAAGAACCACGTTCATATTTTATATGCCTGTAACAAATTTTGAAATGCAACATTTGTAATTGGTAGCCATTTTATATTGTAAATGCCATCTTCCAGTATAATACTGTATTTCTAAACAATAAACCATACCTTATTCAAAATTGAAAATGCATGTACTGTATATCGTTCCTTATGCAAGGATGGGACACGTAATACATCTAACACCTTATCTCTCTTCTGATATACTTTATAAAAATAGTATGATGTAATGATAGAAAAAATGTATCAACTTGTGGATAACTAAACATTGTGCATAATTATTTGCAAATTTTAAGGTCTTGGCCACAACTTTAGTCGAGATATTTAGCGCCAGTCAATTTGTTAATTTGTTTCAGTTTTCTATTTGTTTATACAAAATAATCATTTATTTTTTAGAAAGACTTAAGTGACTGCGGAAGCATTAATTTAGTGAGCATGTGTGATGTGTTAGTACTGTATGTGTGGTGGTAGAGGTTCTGTGCACAACCACCTCCACAACCACCACCACCGCCACCACCACCACCACCACCACCACCACCACCGCCCCAGCATTACCACCTTAGATGACCCTGACAGAGCCGCCTCAATATGGTGTGGACTATGTATACAAATTGCTGTAACTTTCATGCCTGTCTATTGATTGCGTGCATTTAACTTGTGTTCATGTACCACATTACGTCTTTCCTGCTGACGTAATGTTTGGTTCATCCAGGTGTCAGTGTTTATCTCTTATTAGAGTAATTAGAGACAAAAATTACTGTTAAATTATATATTAAGTTCTGAATATTATTTATACATGCATTTTTTATTTAAATTAATTATTTTGTTTACATTTAAGAACCTTTCATGAAATACAAGTATAAAATTATTACTGATTTTTTGTATGAATTGTTGAAGTATATACTTTTACATATCAATTATACTTTTCAAGTTAGTATAATATTTGTCTTCAATCTTAAAATAATATTAAGAATTTATTTAAAAGTGAATGATCGTCGAAGATCTGTGAAAGAAGCATTATGTAATAGACCATGCATCAGGACCATTATGTTTCAGCCTCGGCTCTGTTATGGTCAGACTACAATAAAAGATTGATCTGACATGCCCTGTTTTGTTTTCCCTTAGGAAAATCCTCCCCCCTCACTGTCTGGCCCGTTGCCGCCGGTGGGGGCTTGGTGGGCGGCTGCCGGAGTGTGATGCTCCATGGGTCAGTCCTCTGTCCTTTTGCAGCCTTATGCTCCTGCTGCTGTCTTTACCAAGTTTGCCAGACCTCTTTTTCCTTTTCCTCGTGTTTCATTGTTCTTACCCCTCTTCTCCTATCAAATTGTCATTTCCTGCCGCCCTTTTGCCTGTTTTTATTATTCTTTCGACCTTTTTTTGTTTTGACACCTGGGTGTTTGAGGAGGCATACTCTTGCACCTGTAGAACTGTAGTACCCAACGTCTCGAGCGAGGGGACCCTTTTATTGTCAATCATCCTTTCGTCACTGAACCCGCTCTCGTCGGACTCACGGTTCTTAAGGTCTCGTTTGTGGGGCGTATACTCACGGCGCACCCCTGGGGGGCCCCGGCAAGATCGGCGATAGCTTCTTGTTGGGTGTCCTGCCTCTAATTGTGACTCAATGGTGGGTGTGGGGGCACATTCGTGAATGAAAGTTTTTCCTCATTTTCATGGCAGATAATGTTTCCCTTGTACCTTCTCAGGCTCGTGGGCTGGGTGACCGAGACCCCGAGTCGGACTGTGTTGGAAGACCAGGCCCTGTAGCCCCCGCTGCATTGGGCCCCGACGACCTGACTACTCCCCTCAGCTCCCCTCCCTCCTCTGCGGTAGGGTCGAGTCCCCAGCCCCCAGTGGTGACCACCTCGTACCCTGGCACGGCTTCGTCTCTCATTATGACTACTGCGCCTTTTGCTCCCTCTCTCTCTGGGGGGTTCTCAACGTTCCCCCGCCACGGCCGCACTCTCACGATCCCTTCCTGTAATAATACTTACAACGCCTTGTTTGGTCCCGCTACGTGGGCTAAATACTTTGATCACCATCTGGATTCTACTCCTGACGATTTCTCCCTCCATAAACACCTTGTTGATTCAGTAGATGCCTCTGTTACCTTTAACTCCACCCGTTACGGTACACGTGTCGTCGCTGCTCCTTCTCAGGATGCAGCTACTCGCTTAGCCACGTTGTCCTGCATTGGGGAGACCCCTGTTCGGGTCTCCAAAAACGCTCAGTTAAATGCCAGTGTTGGCACTGTTCTCCTCCCACACCTTGTTGCAACTGGTGTTCGGGACCTCAAAGATTGCCATGAGGATATTAAACATATCCTTGAAGCCCAAGGCCATTCTGTCCTCCAGGTGGACACGTTTACTCGACCCCTTCGTGGTCGTCGCCGTCAGCCCCTTCGAGTTGTAAAAATCACCTTTGATTGTAGGACCCTTCCGCCCTCTATTATTCTTGCTGGTGCCAGATGCTCCGTTCAGGAGTACATTCCTCTCCTAGACTTTGCAATATGTGTTGGAAGTTCGGGCACGATGTTCTCAAATGCACCAGTACTGTGTATCTGTGCCCCATGTGTGGGGAGGATAGTCATTCTAAGTCCGAGTGCACTTCTCCCCAGGCTCGCTGCCTCAATTGCGGTGAAGCCCACCCTACCTTCTCACGCTCGTATATGGACTACAAACTCGAGGAAGCCGTCCTCAACTTGAAGCACCGTGATCGTCTGTCTTTTCCTGAAGCGAGACGCCAAGTTCATCGTCTCGCCCCTTTCGCGGGCGTCTCCTACACTCGCGTGTTGCGTTCTACCCCTCCTCGTCCTTCCCGTCTTCCTCAGTCTCACAACCGTTTCCAGGCCTTAAATCTGTCCACACCCACCACCTCCTCCCCTATTCCTTTGCCTCCTGTCCTGGATAGTCTCCCTCCCAGTTCTCCATCTGGGGTTTCCCCCTCCCTTCCTTCCCAGTCCACCATATCTCCTTTGTCTTCTTCCCCATCTCCCCCCACTCTTTCTTCCCGACCCTCCCCCCAGTCTCTTGACCCTCCACGCCACCTGTCTGTCCAGGCTGATATCCATCATCCTCCCAGCAATCTTCGTGTTGTTCACTCCCGTTCCTCTTCTCCTGCTGAGACCATCGAGTCTGTTGGCCGGTACTTTGTTACTGTCTCTTCGAGTCAGAAACGTAAGCCTGGCTCCTCTCCTTTTTCCTCTCCAGCGGGTAAGGTTTCGCTTTCTTCCTCACCCCCTCCCTCTGACTCTGTCACTACATCCCCTCCTATTTCAGTGGTCGAACCCTCTGTCCCAGATATGGAGGTTTCTTTCGCCCCCGATTCCCTCTCGGTTGCTGCCCTTGCTGAGGTGCACTCCCTGACTTCTGCCCCCCCCCTTCCTCCAGCTGCCCTTGCTGAGGTGCACTCCCTGACTTCTGCCCTCCCCCCCTTCCTCCAGCTGCCCTTGCCTGCCCCTCTCAGTTGTCTCCTCCGGACCTCGTCAGTCCGCCTCTGGTCTGTCCTCTTGTTCCCTTCCTTCCATCCTTTCTAAGTTTACTTCTGCCCCCTAACCCTGATTTTGCCGACCCTGCTCCTGATCCTGAGATTCTTTAATAAACTGTGTTCTTTTATATCTTTATTTCTTTTTTGTTCTCTATTACTGTCCTTTCTCTTTAATAATGTTTATTCTTCAGTGGAATATTCGTGGATTTTATGCCAACTTCCATGAACTCCAACTTCTAATTACACAGTTTTCACCGCTTTGTGTTTGTCTCCAGGAAGCAATGCTTGGTGCTCGTCCTGGTCACTTTCCTGGTTATTCCTCCCTTTCTATCCCCCCCCCCCCTGCTCTTGCTGGGGCCCATAACTCTACTGCTCTCTTAATTTGATCTGATATTCCCTTCGTCCCCCTACTTCTTCCGTCACCTATCCATTGTTCTACTGCCCGTGTTTTTGTGGGTAAATGGTATACAGTCTGTTCCATTTATCTCCCCCCGAATGTCCTTCTTTCCCTTCCTGATCTTAAGCACCTCCTGGACTCCTTGGCAGAGCCGGCGCTCCTTTTGGGTGATTTCAACTGTGTGACATTCCCTCTGGGGTGATGTTCTAACAAACACCCGAGGCCGTCTTCTCGAACCGTTCGTCCTTGCTTCTTCTCTCTTTTCTGAATTCTGGTGAGCCCACTCATGTGGACTCTCGAACTTGCACCCTTTCCTGTCTTGATCTTTCTCTCTGCTCGTCATCCCTTTACTTAAATTTCACGTGGCGGGTTCTTGATGACCTCCATAACAGTGACCATTTCCCTATCCTCATTTCCTTTTTCTCTTTCCACCCTCCCCTCTCCTTCCCTAGGTGGCAGTTTGCCAAGGCTGGCACCCCTAGGTGGCAGTTTGCCAAGGCTGGCTGGTGCCTATTTACCCTCCGTGCTACTCTCTCTGACCTCTCCTCTCTGCCTCTTCCTCGCGCCCTCCTTTTTTATGACAGTCTTCAACGCTGCCCTCCACTCTATTCCTCGCTCTTCCTCCCGGGGCATACGGAAGTGCGTTCCCTGGTGGAATGTGAACTGTGCTCGGGCTGTCCGCTGTAAGCGTGCAGCCTGGAAGAAACACCGCCGCCAGCAGACAGCTGATTCTTTTATTTTGTTTCGGAAGGCTAGTGCGGTGGCCCGTAGGAAACTCGGGAACAGATAGTTTAGAGAACCGCAGCAGTAGTGTGGAGGAGGAGACTATTGTGGTACAAAATAACAGCAATATTGCAGCAGAGTCAGGTAATATAAACGATGAGAGCAACAGTGAGACAGAGTGCATAAATGAAGGAATTGGGACGAAAAACGGAGATGGCTCCAATAAAGAGGTAGACAAGACAGACAGATATAAATACCTTGAAAAACGCAAAACCGGAACACGTGTGCAAATTCTACGCTAAAGGAATATGCAAATATGGAAAATTAGGAGCAAAAATGCCATTTTCTGCATCCTCGAAAATGCAGGAACATGTTGGCGAGGGGTACATGCCGTTTTGGAACAGGGTGTAGATACTTCCACCCTAAATTATGTCAATTTTCAATTAGGGACAAAAAATGCTACAATCTTCAGTGTCCGGAATTCCACGTGAGAGGTACACAGCGTTATAGACGGGAAGATCAATATGACACTACAGGAAATTTTTTAGAGGAAGGCAGAAACAGAGTAATAAATATAAGAGAGAGGAACAGTCAGATGGAACCACTACAGGATTACAGAGGGGAACGGAGATACCCACAAGACTGGAATACAAACTATCAACAAGCACACAGGTACTACACCAGACAACACCCGTCCTACTACCAAAACTGGACGAATCACTTCCAAAACGACACACCCTGGACGCAAACACAGTGGCCTCCTTACCAGAGCCTCAGATATTAACACCAAGTAAGGCTTCCAGCACTTCCACTAACACGATAACATCATTTATATTTGCCAACATCCAGGGTATAAAAACACGCAAATCCAACAAAGTTCACTTTATTGATGGTCTCCTTCATGAGGCAAATGCAGTGTTTGCAGCCCTAACAGAAACCCACACAAAGGACTACCATGATGGTGAAATATGGATCTCAGAGTACAATCTTTTCAGATGTGATAGGAAACACCGGCTTCAGGGTGGGGTCAGGCTCTACATCAAAGACACACTCATCTGTACTGAGCTGCTAAACACCTCAAATGATATGGTGGAAGTGCTGATAATCAAAATAGAGATTCTAAATGTAGTTATTGTCCTTGTATATAAGTCACCGGAGGCAAACCCTCAGCAGTTTAAAGACCAACTAATGAAAATAGAACACTGCTTGGAAAACCTCACAAATCCAGTTCCGAACATCATCCTGCTTGGGGACTTCAACCTACGGCACCTGAAATGGAAGCACCTGGCTAATACAGTAATATCAGAAAGAATACCAGGAAGTAGCCTAAATGAACAGGCACATGCAAATGACCTGCTACGGTTGTGTGACAGGTTTGCCTTAAACCAGCAAATAGTAGAACCAACTAGGAAGGAGAACACGCTGGACCTCATTTTCACTAATAATGATGAATTGATCAGGAACATAATGATTACAAATACCTGTTACTCAGATCAC